ATTAATCTTTTTTTATATATAAAAATACTTGACCTCCATTTCAACCATTATTCTTAATGATCTCGAAAAAGTTGACATTTTTACTTAGAAAATTACATTGCTTGAAATTACTGCCCGGTACACAGTAGCAAGATTCTTAATAACTATCTCGACACCAATCCGTTAATTTTTATACGTATGTACAATTTTTCCTAAATACCACTACTTAGTTTTTTTTATTAAATAGAAAATGCTAGTATCTATGTAAAATTAACAAGACAATTGAAAGCGGCATTCTATCAAAATATATAACAAAAAAAGTGAAGAAAATGTATGATAATAGAAAAGAGAAAAGAATAGGTGAAAGAGAAAAGTTATAAAGAGAGAAGAGTTATGAACACGGGAGATTATTGAGAGATAACTTGTCTTATAATGTCTATATAGAGCACATATTTCGTATAACCGGTAATAAAGCGCCATCTTAATGCATCATAAAAGTGAACTTTTATGAAAATTTGCAAATGACTGCGGTCTGGCAACTGTTTATAATAATTGTGCAATTTGATAGTCCAGGAGATCATCCAGGTCATATGATACGAAATCAAATTGACTACATCTTAAAAACCAAAAGATTCCGCTTTTATATAAAAAGAGTGGCCGCTTACCCTGGTGCGGACATTTCGTCTGACCACAATACCCTAATCGCTAATGTAAGGCTTCGATTGGCAAAGGTTAAAACTCCATCTAATAAAAAATATATAAACACTAGAGAATTAATGAGGAAATTACATAGATGAAACCTGTGAGAGAATAAAAATAGTTATAGTCGAGGCTGACGAAGTAGTCACAAAGAAAAATAAAAAGAAATCACAAAAACGAGTGGATGACGGAAGAGATACTTGATCTAATGGATCAACGCAGACAGTACAAAATACATCAGAATCAACAGGAATACAACGAAATCCAACGTACGATAAGGGCAAGAATTAAAAACGCAAAGGAAAGTTGGATGCAAGAACGTTGAGAAGCATTGGAATCACTACAAGAAAATTGAGACAGCTTTGGACAACAATGTTCCGGAAAGCCGGAAGATGTAAGCGGTGAGACACAATTTGGTTTCAAGAGCGGAGTGGATACATGTGAAGCAGCTTTCTCCTTGAATACGCTTGTACAAAACTGCATGGATCAACGAAAAGATATAGTCATAACATTCCTTCAAGAATCTCTATTGGAATCAAAAAGCACGAGTGAGACTGAACCAATCAACCAACACAAAAGAATTTGAAATTTTAAGAGGGGTGCGACAGAGGTGTGTTTTGTCTCCTATGCTCTTCAATCTCTATGTGAAGAATATTATTGCAGAGGCACTGGACGGCTCTGAGTGTGAAATAAAGGTAAACGGGTTCCCGATATATAACATTCGTTATGCCGACGACACCGCGATAATAACAGACAATGAACATGATATGCAGTTAATGTTAAATAAAATAAACACCGTACGAAAAATATATGGCTTGAAGATATGCTGGAAAAACTAAATACATGACAATAAGAAAAAACGCAATTTTAAGAATAACTGCAAAGTAGATAATGCTCCAATCGATCAAGTGAAAACATTTAAATACTTGGGAATGATGATGAATGACCACAAGAAATAAAATGTAGTACCGAACAAGCAAGACAAGTTTTTATCAAAGTTAAACCGCTACTATGTAACCGCAATCTTTGCTTCAATCTCCGCTTCAGGATGGTTAAAAGCTATGTATGGTCCATATTGTTATACTCCATGGAAACATGGACGTTAAGAGTACCTTTCATTAATAAGTTGGAAGCCTTTGAAATGTGGACGTTGCGAAGAATGTTCCGCATACCATGGACAGATAGGGTGAGAAACGAGCAAATCTTCTTCTTCTTCTTCAAGTTCCACTCCTATCGGAGATTGGAAATCATTCTGGCAATTATAATTTTATTGGTTACTCGCCTGAATAGTTCAATTGAACTGCATCCAAACCACTCACGGAGACTGCGTAGCCACGAGATTTTACGTCTTCCTACGCTTCTTCTACCTTTGATTTTACCCTGCATTACATTCCTTAGTAGTTCGTACTTTTTACCTCTCATGATGTGCCGCAAGCATTCCAATTTCCTGATCTTTATGGAATTTAAAACTTCGCATTGTTTTCCTAGTTGTTCGATAACTTGTTCGTTTGTTTTGCGATCCATCCATGATATTTTCAAAATGCGTCGGTAACACCATATTTCGAACGCTTCTAGGTTTTTAATGTTGGATTTTTTAAGTGTCCAAGCTTCAACTCCATACAAAAGGGTAGAGAAAATATAACATCGAAGCATTCTTATCCGGAGCGATATATTGATATCGCGATTACAAAAAAGTTTTTTCATTCTATTAAAAGTTGACCGCGCAAGTCTTAAGAAAGGCAAATACTGAGAGAGAACTACTCAATTTGATCAAGGTACGAAAAATTGGATACGGAACATAAAGAACTGGACAGGCATAAATAACACTGGCGATCTTTTGCATGCCGCAAAAGACAGACGTCTGGCCTTAAGATAATTCGCCAATGCACTATAGGTGAACGGTTTATTATCAATATTAAGTTTCTTCTTCTTCTTTAAGTTCCATCTTCTATCGAAGGTTGGAAATCATCATGGCTATGCGGACTCTGTTGACTGCAGCTCTAAAAAGTTCTGCACTACTGCATTCAAACCATTCCTTAAGTTCTTAAGCCAGGATATTCTTCGTCTTCCCACATTTCGCTTTCCTCGGATTTTGCCCTGCATAATAAGTTGTAATAATGCGTATTTTTGCCCTCTCATCACATGTCCCAAGTACTCAAGTTTTCGTCTTTTAATAATTAATATTATTTAAGTTTAATTAATAAAATAATTATTTAAGTTTTATATTAAGTTTCTAATAAAGATTTTTGTACAAAAAAATACCGACATCAAGGATAGACCTTCAAGAAAGAATTTCTGTAAGTATTTTCACGTATTTCTTTAAATATTGGTATTTTTTATCAAAAATATGAATATATGAATACAATAAAATATGAATAAAAATATTTTATGGTGAAGCTCTGGACATACCACATGGTAGTGAAGACGAAGAGCTATCAAATGATGATATTTCCCCTATTATATTAGCTCCAGAGTCAGACTATGAAGATGATATAATAGATAATAATGAATCAGATATTATTATCCCAGAAACAGAATTAAAAAACAGTTCGGATAGCGAAGATGATATTTATTTGGACGAATTACGACGTAATCTAATAAAGAATAGAAATAAAATCATCCAACTTGGAAAGAAGGACAGTTGGTAACATCAGATGATGATATAAGATTTCTCGGTTGTACTGATCTGCCACCTGAGTTGCAACAAGCGGATTCCCCTTATACATTTTAAAATTTTTTTTAACAAATGAGATGATCAAAGAGTTTATAATATAGTTTATCAAACTATATTATATTCAGTGGAAAAAAGATTTCAAAACCTTTGAAACTTTCTGAAAATAAACTAGAACAGTTCTTAGGAACCTGTATTTATATGTCAATAGTGCAATTGCCAAACGCTAGAAGTTATTATAACTCCAGCCTGAATCATCGATTGATCTCAGATGTTAATGTCATGCAATAAATATATGGGAAGAAATAAAACGATTTTTACATTTTGCGATCAATAACGATGTTATTGCTGCCAGTAATCCTGGTTACAATAAACTTTTTAAAATCGCTACTAAATAAACTAAGGAATCAGTTACTCAACGTGCCGAAAGAGGAACGTTGACGAATTCGCCATAGATAAGCAAATAATTCTAATAAAGGAGCGTTCATCTATAAAACAATTCAATCCGCAAAAACCCCACAAATGGGGAAATATGGTGTTAGTTCTTAGTGGTGTCAGCGGATATTCCTACGATTATGAAATTTTTGTAGGAAGCCAAACTAATGTTGTACCTGATGGTTTTCCTGATTTAGGCTTAAAGCCTGTTACTTCTTCAACATTAGCCTCTTAAATTGTTTAAATTATCGCACCATCTTCTTTTTTTAGTCTGCCAATACTTCTTCGTCCATTTGGTGACTTATCTCGTGCTATTCGTACTATTCTATGCTCTGCCATTCTACTAATGTGATCATTTTCGCTTCTCTCCCTATCCAACAGACTTTTCCCTGATATTCGTCGAAATATTTTCATCTCTGTTGTAGAAGTCGTCTCGTTTTAGATGTGACAGGTCTTGTCTCCGCCGTGTATGTTAATATAGGTCTAATTGCTGCTTTATAGATTCTTGTTTTTGTGTCTTGTCTTAGGTGTTTGTTTTTCTAGATTGTGTCATTAAGAGATCCCGCCGCTTTACTTGCTTTTAAGCTTTGTTGTCGTACTTCTTCTTCAACATCTCCGTAACTAGTTATATCTATTCCCAGATATCTAAACCTTGCTTCCTGCTATATTATTTTCCCATCAATTTCGATTTTACACCGTAGTGGGTATTTAGATGTCATACATTTGGTTTTTTGCTGTTATTATCATATTGTATTTCTTAGCTGTTGTATTGAAGATGTGTGTTAATCTTTGAAGCTCGTCTTCTGTCTCGATTAATGCGGACTCCTGAGTAACATGAGATAACATGTTTAAATTTTAAACGTAAGATCATCTTTCGTCTAAAACGTCTTTCTCAAGAATATAATTAAACCACAAATCCACTCATGGATGGATTGATAGCAGATGTTTCTTCACCCAAGACAGGCGAAGACTTCTGCACAATATTCGAGGTAAAAACCGGGACACTGATCGTTTTTGCCAACGGGATGACATGTGTATGATGATTCTTATTCTTTGTGAATGAATTGAATGCTGCGGACAATATCTGCCAAGCACTAATTGTTCTCTAACAGTTTGTCTTGCAGAGTTAAAAACATTTTTTGGTTCAAGAGATTTATAATTTCAACACAAATAATAAATATACAAAATAATTACTCAATACCGAACAAATGCTTACCTTTAATAATGAGTTGAATCAGTCTGTCGTTTTGGGCGCTAGAATTAGCATTTCCGTCAGTGGGTTTCTTATCGCCCAGTAAATATTCGGCCACCAATGGATAGACCTCTCGGAAACATTGCACTCTAGCGTTACTTGGGTTCCAGTCTTTGTACTGTAAATGATCCGATAATCGGGGAAGTGTGAGTAGTAGACACATCGTCGAGTATTCTTCTTTCGATGCAGAGTATTTTTCTAATTCGTTTAGTATGCTAACTACTTCTTCTACGGCGTTATCCATGCTGTTACCTGTAAGAGTACAATATTTTAAAATTTAAGGTTGGATGGAGTTTGAACACGCTACGTTTTTTTTTCTATAGAATGTAGACTATTTGTTAAAACAATAAAATATCATGTGGAACATTTGAAATAGAACGACTATATCTATTAGTATAGTCAACATCGCAATTATTAACAAGCATAATAGAATGTTCTCTGTTCTATAATTTCAGGTAATTCATAGTAGTACCAGAAGCAAACAGAGGAACTTAAAATGTATTATTTCAAGGATCCGTCTCAGCTTTGAAGATTTTAAAAACCATATTTATGTGTGAATCGACTCCGATAAATATTGTTGAGTCACAACACCTGATTGCGGCCCTTTACCTTAAGTAATTCCAGAAACTGAACCCACCTCTTTATTAGCGACGTACGAGAATGTCGCGTAGGATTTAACTGTACCCTCTAGCTATTTCCAGAACTTCTGTTTTCATTATATAAGCCGACGAAGCGACCTTTGAATTATTATCAGAGAATTTTTTGTATGCGATATCATTGTGAATTGTAAGCGATAGTTAGTTAACATAATTAGTGTCACGAGCTCTGATCCTTTGCAACTGGTCATATTAAGGACCAAAATGTGGGCGTACAGCTAGGACATCCAATACTATAATGAGGAATCGTCAACAGATAATGTAAAAGAAAAAGGTTTTTAAATGATGAACTGAAAAGATAATGAATTCAAGTATTTGATAAAACTCATATTAATACATAATATTTACGAACAAGCTGAAATGGTAGTGACGTTGGGTAATGGAATCGAAACAAGACCAGTAAAAACAACCGAGGGGTAAGACAAGGAGACACAATATCTCCAAAATTATTTACAGCTGTCCTAGAAGATATCTTTAAGTCAATAGACTGGGAAAATAAGGGAATCTCTATCAACAGAAGATACTTGAACCTTCTTAGATACGCAGAAGATGTAGTACTAAGAGCCGACAGGTGGAATGCACTAAATACGATGATTGAGGAGCTACACACAGTATCACTAAAAAAGGACTGAAAATGAATTTCAGCAAAACTAAACTAATGTCAAACAAAGATGACAAACTTATGATAAACATCGAAGGGACAGAGATAGAACACGTAGATGAATATACATATCTGGGTCAAAATGTAAAGGTAAACAAAGAAAATCGCACTACCGAAATAAGCAGACGTGTAAAAATAGGATAGACAGCATTTGGAAGACTCTCATACGTACTTAAAAATAAAAATATACCTCAAAGACTGCGAACCAAAGTGTTTAATTCCTGTATCCTACCTGTACTTTCATATGGAGCTCAAACCTGGACATTCGTTAAAATAAACATGGAGATCAGAAAAACTCAGAGAGCTATGGAACAACAGATGCTGAGTATTTGACTCAAAGACCATAAAACCAATAAAGACATTCGTAATAGAACAAAAGTAAAAGATGCTATCGAACAGGCAGCTAAACTGAAGTGGAAATGGTCTGGACATAACGAACGAAATGGTCTGAACGTCTTACGGATGGCCGATGGAATAAAAAAATCGGGAATTGGCGGTCATATGAAGCCAAAAGACTACGAGAAAGACCGCAAATGCGCTGGACCGACGATATTAAAAGAACTGCAGGGCCAATGTGGAAATGACAAACAACAGAGATGATGGCGAGCATTAGGAGAGGAATATATTCGGCAATCCGAATAGAGAAAACGGCTTAAGAGCTTATAATTTCAAGGTGCAAAAAAATTTTGAAGATATGACAAAAGAGGAAAAGAAGCAAGAATCAGCTCTCAGAATGATAAACATACATACAGGAATAGATGTAGCGACACAGACCATACTTTATTTATTTACAATAATGTACAGCATACATTTTAGTCCTAAGGTACATATTATTATTTAGTCAGAGCAGTAGTATACAAAAAAGTCAGAACAAAGACATAGAAAGTATCAAATCTGAACCCTTAAACAGAATGCAACAAAATAGATAAGATCTGGGAGACAACTGCAGAAATAATCACCAACATGACCGACAAGATATTTGGAAATAGTAAAAGAAAGAAGATAAAACATGGTACCACGAACAATGTCGAAATCAGCTAGGAAAAAAGAATAAGGAACAGGTGGTAGTAGAAAGAAATACGATGACTATCGAAAAGATGAATCGATGTGAAACTTTTTGCATTCGATTCTGTAAACTGCCAGGAAACATAAAATTTCAGAAGACAATGTTCGCCCTGAGCACCAGGTAGCTCGAGGACCATAGTCGTTATCATTCCCGAATCGAATTTTGATTTTTTGCGACTTTTTTGTAGTATTTTTCATCATGTTATTGTTTAGTTCGACAATGTAACTCTCTTATTTATACATCGATGATTGAATCACGCTTCAGTTAAAACAATAATGATAGTCTTTTATACAATGGTAAGCAATTGTTGCGTGCGCGTATATTCCAGTGCAATGATTCTTAAATCCGGTCCTGATGTGCCGCTCGGGGCAAACCGGCAACGTGTTCGGCCGTTCTCCCATAAGAAATACAATGCCAATCTTACCATCACCACTGCATCCTAACTGTGGCTTCTACTATACAGTGCTTTTCAGATAAAACTATCCACCTTAAATAACTTTTGAACCTCTAATTTTTTGGAAAAACGCAAAAAACACGTCAATTAATATCTGAAGGGGGAGACATAATATCATATTAAAGGTTGCTGGAAAATGCACCCTCTCACCCCCTGTATCAACCCTTTATTTTTTTAAATTACTTCTTCCTTTTTTGTTTTATATTTGGATTCTCCTTTTTGTTCTAATTTCAAAAATGTATAATACCTTTGGCTTGAAGTGATTAGTTTATCAGATAGACAATTTTCCTGTTAACAAGACAGTATCTCCCTCACCTTAATTGGCTCTAACAAAATAGGTTGTAGCATAATTTAAACTCTTTAAATATTTAACCGTACTATTTGTAGTACCTTCAAAAACCAAGAAACAAAAAAATTCACTTTTTATTCAAGTTTTATCAAAGGTTTTCGATATCATTTTTACATTTGTTTTAATCGGTTAATAGCGACAATTTGTTATAACTTGTAAGTAGCAGCTTATTTTGATACGTGTGCAATTTGATCACTGAAATGGTGTACACTTTGCAAGAAAGAATCGAAATTGTGGGTTTATACTACACAAATAATAATTGTGCAAGAGCTGCTGCTTGAATTTTTAATGAAACACACCACAATAGACATGCAACTCATAAGTGTGTGATTAAACTGATGCAGAAAAAATTAGAGCAAGAGAGTCAGTTTGCAATAAAAAACATAACCGACAGGAACTTGTAAATAAAAAAGCAATCCAAGTGGCTGTTTTAGGGCAAGTTAACTTAGACTCTTAACAATCACTGTCACTGTCAACAATAAGCAGAGCAATCGGTGTTTCATCTTCGACAGCCTTCCGAGTCCTCCATAAATTCAAGTTTTATCCATATAAAATTAAATTAGTACAAGAGTTAAATGAAGAAGATTTTGATCGTCGTCCCGAATGGTGCGAATTAATGATACAATGCATCATTAACAATCCACAATTGTTAAACAATATTTGCTTCTCGGATGAATGCTCATTCTCATTAAACGGTTTGGTGAACAGATATAATTGCCGATACTGGGCTGAGAGTGATCCACATATTGTACGCGAATTTCACAGACAGCATCCTCAAAGGTTAAACGTATGGAGTGGTATCCTACGTGATCACATTATCGGACCCTTCTTTATCACTGGAAACTTAAATGGTGCATCGTATCTTGAATTATATAGGCAAGTGGTTGATCGTTAGAACAATAGTAGAAAATGATGATAACCTTTCCGATGATTTGGTTGTATTTCAACATGATGGAGCTTCTCCACACTTTGCTTTACCTGTGCGATAATTTTTAAACGAAACGTTTCCCGGTCCTTGGATAGGTAAAAGACGACAGATGATCGATTGGCCACCTAGGTCACCGGATTGAACACCCCTAGACTTCTTCTTAAGGGAGTATTTAAAAACAAAAATTATGCTACTGAACTCAAATAGAGGATGAATGTCGACAATTAAATACAGACGTGTTAAGGAATGTCAGAGAAGAATTTTAAAATAGATTGTACTATTGTATGGAAGTGAAAGGCAGTCATTTTGAACAATTATTGTAAAAATTTTTAGTAGTGAAATGTTTGTTCTAAATGTGTGTAATAAAATTGTTAAAAAATAATTTTTGTCAACCCAATTTTCTTGCTTTTGTATTTACTTTTCTCATAAACTAATCACTTCAAGTATCATGTATTATACATTTCTGAAATTAGTACAAAAAGGAGAATCCAAATATAAAATAAAAAAAGGGGAAGTAATTTAAAAAAAAATAAAAGGTTGATACAGGGGGTGAGAGGGTGCATTTTCCAGCAACCTTAAAATATGGTATTATGCCTCCCCCTTCAGGTATTAAAAGAAGTGTTTTTGCGTTTTTCCAAAAAATTAGAGGTTCAAAAGTTATTTAAGGTGGCTAGTTTTATCTGAAAAGCACTGTATTTATCTAGTGCAGTATTTATTTTATTGTGTTCAATAAAATATTTCCATTGCTTTTGACGTCTCTGGTGTTCTATTGATTTTGACGTCGTTCGTGTATCAATTATGTATTTGCATATATCTTAACGAGTCTACTTACTGTTAAACCAAATTTCACTATTAAGACTTGTACCAGTTCATAAACACCTTCTAAATAAATAGTTGCTCTATTAAAATCTAGTTTCACTACACATTATCGAGTAAAAATAAAAAGAGAAAATTTAAATGGCTTAAGGTGTGTATGTTTGTTTATTTAATAGCTGTAACTATTTATTTGAAATTAGGCATTCCAAGAATGGCCAGGTGATCATATTTCAAGCGAAATTGTATTACAGTAAGCTGAACGCTATAAGAAAAATGTTAACAGTTTATTGTTTACTTGGTCTATGCGATATATGAGAGATAT